CAGGCGTATAATCCTTACTAATATTATAAGGCGAAAGTTTGTGTGTATGGATGGATGTTTGTTACTCATTCACGCAAATATTACTGAATGGATTTTAATGAAACTTTGCAATAATATAGCTTATACATCAGAATAAGACGTAGGCTATAATCAATATACATTATTTATATATCTGTCTTTCTGTCTGAATGTTACGCCTTCAGCCTATTCTACGCAGATGTAGTCGCGGGCAGCAGCTAGTATTAAATATATCAAATCAGATTACTTACAGGCTAACATGTTGACGTTGGTAAAAATAACATTATTAACAGTTTTACAATGCTTTTAATCAGAAGATTTATTGGCATGATTATTTTAGGATTGTTTCTTAAAAGCTTTATCTTATCTGTAAATTTTATCTCTAGACGATTAAATAGATATTACCGACACATAATTTTATACAGCGCTTCTGATATTAACCGAGCATTTACTGCCTATAAAAATCTTTAAACTTGCTTCTTCCCGGGGTGCCGTTCACTGTGGCAGATTACCGAAGCTTTTACGCAACGCCCTTAGGCCTTAAGAGTAAGCACGTACTTAAATATAACCGAATATTACCAGAAGTTATCAACTCTCAAGAAAGTAATTTAGAAAACATTGAACAATAATGTAAATATCTCGTCTTTTCTTTAAACTTTTTGATTGCAGTGACGTACGGAGAATCCTTTGGTTATTGAATACTATACTTTGACTATAATAAGTATTAATGTATCCGAAATGTACACCTAATATTAAATCAAGTAATATTCCTTTTTTTTTTTAATTTAATAGCAACTGTTATTAAAATAAAGTATAATTGATTATGGAACTTGACATTTTAGTTATTTATTACGTAAACATTTGTAAGATATAGTTTAGGTTTGATTTCGATAATCAGTTTTTTACTACACATTTTTTTAATTTCAATATTAATTTACCTACAGTTTCGAAACCACACTGAAATTGTCTGTATAGTTACTGAAACATAGTTAACTTTTTATAGGTAGATTTACATACAAAAATTTCACATAGAAAGATACCCAGATATAGTAAGAATTATCAAATATCGCGAATAATTCTCTTGGATTCAATAAGTCGTATTGCATCGTATAATCTTGCTTACGACTCGCGACTCAAAAAATCCAAATATCTCTTAGAGTGATGAATCGCCAACCTGTGACATAACGTTTGCGATTTATTCGTGCTATTAATTAATTATATCACATAATTTAACGCTGGTAGGGCCATGCAGCAGCCTCGGCTGTTGCACGAATGGGCAGGCTCGTCCGGGTAAGTACCACGAGCTCACAGAAGACCGGCGTAAAGTGTATAAATACTTCCGCGTTTCGTCTGGTGAGTAGCCAGAGCCCAATTTTCAAAGATTGTCAACGCATCTGCAAACCTTCGGGTGTAGTAAATGTTCATGGGCGGTGGTATTCACTTAACATCTGGTGAACCCCCTCGCTTGGCAAATTTTCACATTAAAAAAAATTGACACAGCCTGTTACGGTGATTGTTATGGCTAATACGAGATGACAGAGATAATTTCACATGTAGAGGTAGTTTTGTGCTCGTGTGTTTGCCGTATTATGATTTTCGTTTCGATTTAAGATGCCTGTTGATGGATGTCAATGGAATACCAAAATTGGTTTAAGCGAATGAAGTTCGGAATCGACCTAGTAACCTATATCAGTGTGTGCATTTATAATAATACAATATGTAACGTACCAAAAGCCAACGTCAATACCGGGTTATTCATAAAGTGTACATGGTGATTCTTAAAACATATTTAAGACATCTAGCAAACTATTAAAAGTTTGACTTTCAATTTACATATTTTTTATACTCGCTAATGCTTTGTCATCATGAATAATGCTTCTATTGGCCACGATCCAAAATAATGTGGACGGTTGGATAATTTTCCAGTAAACATGATGATTTTCCGTTTTTACCTAAATTCCTTTGAATTGATACAATACTCGCATCTTACTTCTTAGCGAGTCTATACTGTTCGCCACGTTGTCACCAGATCACTGACAAATCTGTATTTTTTATTCCTATTTTATTTAAATTTTGCAGCTTTGGCGGTGCAGTTCAAATTTTAAGGCAATCTCAGATATTTAATCGTTAACAATATAAGAATTTTAATAGTATTATTGAAAGAAAAAAAGACATTATTTTTGACAGAGGCAGCTTCCTAAAGCTTTTCCAGATTTTTAATCTAAGCAAACAGCTGATTGAACTGTTAAATATCAGCCGATTTGGATTTCTTTTTTTTTATTCATATAAAACCAGCTCAACTTCAACTTTCAGGTTGCGTTAGTTTTCAATTGAATTAAAACACATATTGTGCATCCGCGTTTGACTCGTTATGTTTGGGTTTTTATTATTCGTTATTATAACAGAGTAATCTACTTTGATTTAGTGGTGTGAACAAAATAAAAAAAAATAATAAGTACCAATTAAAAACAAGAGTACGGAAACTGAAAAGTAAAAGTGTATAAATCCAAATTGGAAGCGAGAGTGAGCGAATAACGCAGATCAAGATCAACCTTTGGAATTTTCCCATCTCCAACTGAATGAAAACTGAATGAAAGCCAATTTTCATCGTTTTTTCTTGTGTATTTTTAAGTTGTAAGATCAAATAGAGGCAGTAGTACTTCCCATGAACCAGCCCATTCACATAAAAAAAGATGCTACGTTATGAAAAGTTGTCAAACGAGCAGACGGTTCACCTGATGTTAAGTGAATACTGCCGTCCATGGACATCTACAACATCCGATGGCTCGCAGATGCGTTGGCAACCATTAAAAAAGTAGGCCCTTGTTACATCAGCCCTGTAGTCCCGGGTTCATAGAATAGGGCTAAGGTATCCCCTGCCTGTCGTAAAAGGCGACTAAAGGGGGACACGGATGGGCAGCAGCACGAAGTGGTCTCGTGTTGTTGCAAGAGTGTGAGGGGATCGGAGAAGGTTTATCGAGGCGTGCTCATGCGTAGTACCGAGGGACGCCGGTGCGTTCCATGGGAGATCCCGGAGTCCCTCCAAATGTACAGAAGGCGGCCACCGAGGGGGTTTTAGTGGGTAAGAACCCCACATAACCCTGTCATGTAAAGTGACAGGGTATCCTTTGAAGATTTCCCCACCGATACCAAAAAAAAAAATGCCCCTGTTACATCACACACCAGACGAAACGCGAAAGTTTAACATTTCGACTTCACGCCGAACCTCTGTAAGGCCGTGGTAATTCTCGGGACGCACCTGCCCGTTCGTGAAACAGCGGAAGCTGCAGTCGTGATAAGCTTAGCTCATCACATTCTCAATATCATGATGATAATGCGAAAACATATAGCAAGTTGTCGGATTCGTAACAGTTCAACTGACGATCGTGCAAGAAATGAATGTATAATTTGTACGCAATCACATATCCTCACAAATATTATACAGGCGAAATTTTGTATGTATGGATGGGTGTTTGTTACTCTTTCACACAAAAAGTACTGAATAGATTTTAATAAAACTTTATAGTAATATAACTTATACATCAGAATAACATATAGGCTATAATATACAAAGATATCGTGTGAATTGTCCAAAATATAGGTCATATAATGATAAGTGTCAAGTAAGTAGGAAAAAGTTCAGCCATCTGTGAGATATTCTGGCGTATAAAAAAAAAACGCATTGTTAATTCCCTTAGGCCGCGCGGGTAAAGCCGCAGATAACAGCTAGTAATTATATAATTTTTTTAAACATTTACTTTACAGCAGAACAAACTGAGTTTAAATGCGAAAACTTTCCTTACCGAAACCATTAAAAAACCACACGCAAAATTAGGGAAGGCCCTTCGATTCGTCGCACAGCTGCCGACTTTCGGGCCTACACTCTCACTTGCCGGCTCGAAAACAAAAAGGGGAAAAACCGCAGAGCAACTTCTCGCCTGCGGCGGAAATCGCCCGCAGTGTTATTTCACTACCCATGGTATTGAAGATGTTATAACAATACTGGATGAGACAATACTAAGAGAAAACTGGAACGTAGTAATCTTTGGTAGATTTTTTTAAATATAAATTAAGAGATAAAATTTATGTATATAATGTATACATATTATTGGCTAGTGTTAGTTTTTTCTATTTAGGTGAAACATAACATCCTTTGCTACTGCTTGGTCCGCTCCATTTAAATGACGCTCAGTACGTACAAAATTAACAACGTTTAATAAAGTATTAGGTATTAAACAATTGTTTACCTAAATATCCAAACATGTCTCATCTAGATTTACTCAGCGCGATGATCACTAGTGTAAACTATTGTTTTAGTTTTATTTTCCGCGGATTCAATGTCGTTTACTTTGGTGCTATTCTGCAACCAAAACTTAATGTATTATTTCCATTCAAAATGTACATCATCAACTAGGTGTATGTAATAATTGAAATTTAATAAATAATTATGTTTATTTTTTAAGCCAATGCAGTGTAAGTGGGATATGTACAGAAGCAAAGAGTTTATTGTATTTAAAAATATAATTGCTTGTCTTACGTTAATACTGGCTCTTATCCTTATTATGTAGAACAAATAAAACCGAATTAGACCGATTCGAAATTATAGGAAAATAATAATTTGTACTAAAGATAGAGAATCAATAATATAATTTCATTAGATAATGTAGTCGCGTATATACAAGGAATCCTTATATATAACAGTATATCACTTGGGTTGTTACTTATAGTAGTACTCTTGTTGGCAAAGTCCAATCTGCTATCATTGAGCCCCCTCCGACTTATCATAATAAATAACGATCATGATGAAGACACTGATTTTAGTTTTAGTCGTTGCTGAATGGCCCTCACAATTTTTTACACTTGCCAGCTCCGCAACGGAGCAATTGCCGCGCGATTTAAGTTTTCATTTTTTTGAAAGCTATCACTATAAAAGTGTTTCTGCCTCCCTTTCTGACTTATTGGTCCAAACGAGCTCAGAGAAAATGCTGCGGGTGACAGGCTTGGTGTTGGTGATCTCGTCCATGGGTCTTGGCTCCTTGCTGGACGGGGATTTGGATCTAGCCGATGGCGTCACATTAGTCAGTACACCACTGTCTAACAGCCTGGAGGACGAAGGCAGGTCCTTGGGGAACTCCCCGCTGTTCCGCATGGCGAAATTCCTTCAGGGTCACGAGCTTCACGTCAAGCTGCCTAACCTCATAGAGAAAGAGAAGGTTAGCCACCTCTTAGCCGAATCGCTGAAGATTGTCGACGATACGTACAAGAGCAACAACGGTGAGTGTTGCATCACGTTAATTTTTATGATCATGAGGCGCCTTTATTATCTGATCTATTCCAATTATGAAGCTGAAAGCAGTTTTTTGTGTTTATGTATTGGGTTAATAACTTTTTGAAAAGAGTGCACAATATGCATATGTTTTTTTTTTCATAAAAATATCTATCAGTTAATAAAAGTCATATTCAAAGTAGTCTAATCTATGATGAATAAAACAATTTGTAAAGAGTTCATTGAAATGAACGTTAATTCATAAAAAGATCATGCATGTACTATGGTATAATGTAAGCTACACAATAATTATGAAACTATGAATAATTAAAACCAATAGTATTTGATATTATCACCTGCATTTTCAAGTTTCAAATGTGGAACATTTAAAATTTTGAAACTTTAATAAAAACTTATCATGTCAACATAGAATTCTTAGTTGGTATGAGAATATCATACCGTTAATTTTTAGTGTGCCTAATCAAAACAAATTGATAAATATAACGTGAAGTTCATTTAGAATGATTTTGATCGTAATTTTTTAAGCATTTTTAGTTAGAACAAAATGGAAGCTTTGTGAAAGTTATCAACTGCCAAAAAAATACCAAGTTATCGTGAATTTCCGTAATTTAGACAGAGGAGGCTATATGTATGTAGGATACTTGGGAGTTTTCTTCTTTTACTCTCATGCAGGCGTACTCCTTAAACTCACTTTTATACTATTATATATTTAATAGACATATTTTTCTTAAACTTTATAAAATGACACAGTTAAAATGTTTAAGTTATAGTCTTTTAAAACTATTTTATTTGCTTTTACTTTAATATGTATATAATGAAAAGCAAAGCTCTCTTTCAGAGGTACGTCTTTCTTTTTTTTAAATAAAAATAGGGTGTTCACATTTTATTCAATTTGAATACCTATTCAAATGCTGAATGTTTGGTAATTTTTCTGTTACCGAGTTTAAAAAAAAACCAAGGAAATAGTAGGATGGGATTAGTAATTCTACAATTTCAATATTAATTTTTAGTTCTCCTTTCTGATTCATGGCTAAGTAAAATTTTTGCAATTTGCAGTATATTATCGAAAAATCAATAGCTTACAAACATGACAATTCTTATTTTTATAATGTAGTGATTCAAATGGATATTTAAATTCACTTTTCCAATTTCAATGTTTCATTAGAAGTAGTAAAACACTGATATATTAAGAAAATCAATAAACTGCTACTAGTGATATGTTAAGAATAATGTTATTTTGCCACAAGTTATTTGGTGTTAAAATGTGTTCCTTTTGTTTACATCACTATTTTACGAAATCACTCATAAATAACCTCTAAATTATTATTGTGTTTTCATACGTATTGTTTCTCAGCTACTGGCCGAGGTAAAGGTGACGGCGGTGCCGGCGGGCTTGCTCTCCTCGGTTTGATGTTCGCGAAGACCGTTGGGGCTGCAGGAATTGGTGGTTTGGGTCTTCTCACTATGAAGGTATGATTAGCTTTGAAAACGACATTATAAAAAAAGTACGCGAGTGAGAGAGGACATTTCAATTTCCGTAACCCGTTGGCTATTTCTATCCCTTACGGATAAAAGTGATATTGTTTTAAAGTGCTTCTATAATATTGAATTGCGACTCAAGAAATTCTCCGTGATTTTACCAGATGTGACTATCGAATGGAGAATGGGAAAGGAGATTGTAAACGGAATATCTTTTACATACTTCGCGTAGATCTCGATTCTAGAGCCGTGTAGCGTAGTGAAATGCACGTCATCAGACGCGCGAGATGATTGCTTTTTGTTTTATTTCGTCTTTTAGTTACTGAGAAACTCAAAAGCGTATACCGTTCTTTTGCGTAAGCGGCCGTTGTTTTTTTTTTTTTGTTTATATTCCTCTTCAGTGAACCCACGTAGCTAGTGGAGGGTTCTTGCTTCATGAACATTAATTAACAGAGTATTTTAAAATGTTTCATGTTATAAAGAGGACTTTAATTAAGAAACAATTCTTTAATAACAGATAAATTTATAAGAAAACACATGTGCAGTGCGCGTGTGCCACTGGGACGAGGTACCTTGAGGTATCCTCTCATTCCGAAAGTCATTTAAATAAAAGGTGCAAAATTATTTTTTGTTACAATGAGAAAAAAACATGTTACCTTAGGAATAAAATCAAAAAGTTTCAGTAAAATTATTAATTTTGTGAATTATTTTAATTTGTTATAAAAAAAAGTGATTATATATGGAAAATAGTAGATAAATGAGCCAAACTCCACACGGGTCTTGCCCCTCGTTGACCGATTAAATGTTATGTGTTAGAAATATGTGCTTTGACAGAACGCTTATTCCTTACGTTACCAATAACACCTATCGCAAGCCGCGTAAAATAATATCCCTCCACAAGGAGTGTACAAGAATGACTGCGAATGTGGGCTCTCTTATACGTATAGAATAAACTAAAAGATCAATAAAACCAGAATAAAAGAACACATAGCTGACGTGAAGCACCTACGTTTGAAGGGGTCTGCAGTTTGTGATCATATTTTAGGCCACCCCAAACTGGCTACGTTAGATTTGATCAACCGAAAATCCTCGCAAACGAACACTGATTCATTCCAAGGATGATCCGCGGAGTTTGGGTTACCTGGACTTTGGGAGGTAAACGTTACTAAGGGTGTGTAAAATACCGATCTAATTTCATCAAATATTAAAGTGCGATTTTTTGATATTACCTTCAGAAAATAAGTAAAGTAAAGTAACAGCCTATACATGTCCCACTGCTGGGCAAAGGCCTCCTCTATAGAGAGGGTATACCTTCAGAATATTATTAAAATAATATTATATTATAATTTAACGTTAATACGCAACGCAGACATAGTTGCAGGTATCAGCGAGTATAAACAGTTTGTATACATTATTTAGTTTTTACTGAATCTTTCACTACATCACTCGTCGATAACGTTGTCTAGCTTGTAGTATAAACTTACTAACTCTCAAACCACCAATTTTCTTTATCATTTTTCCTTCTTACCAAAAGAATTCGCTTATCAATTTCCATATAATTAATTTAATTCATCATCATCATTTCTTCATTCATCAGCCTGCTTAAGCAATGTTTCACGCCAACTAACGTCCTTTCCCACCAAACAACCACTTTTTCATATCCCGGAGGACGCACGTTCTACTCCGGTGGCAACGGTGAAAATCATCTTGTCCAGTTTTTTTTAAAATTTTTATATCATCATCATTATTCCACCCTGTATGAGTTCACTACTGAACATAGGCCTCCCCTACAGACCGCCACGGAGTATGATCCTTAGCCAACTGCATCCATCGACTTCCCGTACACTTGCACAGGTCGTCACTGAGGGTCGTCCAAAACTGTAATGGCTAATACGAGGCAGCCACTCAAAAACCTTTATTGCCCATCGGTTACAATTGATTTACATGAGAATGATACAACATTTTTAATGCAGGCCCTAGCGGTGTCAGCCCTCGCATTAATGCTGTCTGCGATAGTGGGCGTCAAGAAACTCGCCTCCCACGATGATCACGACGACCACCAAGTGATCTACGCTGGTCACCACGGCCACCATCGTAGGAGACGAGATTTGGACGACACGCCGCTTCCATACAAAGGATGGACAGAATATAAAAGAGCCTAAATCCGAATGGTAGAATTGCTACGGTCGAATTGATGGACGGACTTTTCTTCCATTCAAAAGTAAAAGCGTGGAAAATGTAACTCGTAATGCTCGACGATAGCTTTAAGTGGACGGAGGAACATCGCTGTGTAAATTTAGTATTATCAAATTGATACCGTTTTCATTATTTGAATGTTGAGACCGTCGTGGACTTCGATAGTAAAATTGTGATCTTCAAGTGTTGTAAACTAGTTATTAAATATTTAATTTATTTATTTGAACTAATTTTTGTCAATTGAATAAAAATGTGTGTAAATGTTTCTTTCCCTTTTCTGATCGATATTAACCTTCACAATTACAAACACTGCCAAGTGAATAACCATGCGTAATTTAGCGACGTAAAATTAAGTAAAATGTGATGGCCCAAAGCGGGAAAATATTTACTTCTTAAGAATAACATTATTATTTTACTTTTCGATATAATGTTATATGTGAAAACGAAACCTTTCAAGTCGAGAAGGCGAGAAGGTGGACATTAAAATAATTATTATATCTCAACTATGATCTATTAAATATGTTTAATAAATAATAAAGCAGTATTTCAGGACATATTTTTACTCAAATTCAGTCCCAAACTAAGTAGCTTGTACGATGGGTACTAGGTAATTGTTATGCACACTAACATACTTTATATATTATATTAACATACTTTACATCATACATATTAATGAAATGTAAATATCCAGACATTAGAAAAACGCTATGTTCATCACAACAATACTTTTCCAGTATTAGGTGGTGAGATAGGTTCAGTGTCCACTACGCCAATGAGGTCAGTTAGCAATATGCTTTGCGAACAAGGTGATCAAGTTCAAGACTACACAAATGCTACATAGATGTTAGTATTAGTAGTAGTAGATGATAGTAGTTAATGGTATTTGACTTTCAATGAGTGAGCTTCCAGCTTACGACTGTATTGTTGTGGATAAAAGAACGAATTCTTCTTCATTTATTTACGCTCAGAGCAAAAATTATATTTTTACGATTCTTATTTCACAATTGTTCTTCACCGAGCCTTTACTCCGTCCTCTTGAAATATATAAATCTAAGTCTCTCTGCACCTTAGAGTAGAACTTTAAAGATAACTGAAAAGAAATATTGAAACGAGGTTGAATTGTTTCCTTGTAGGTTTATTGCAGTTATTTTTTATGTTACGAGGTGGCAAGCGAGCTGGTGGTTCACCTGATGTTAAGTGATAACCGCCGGCCATCGACATTTTTAGCATCCGTAGGGTTGCAGATGCGTTGCCACCCCCAGTTCCACTAACTTGGGCCCCGGCAACCTCAATCACTAGACGAAACGACACTACCTTCTGTGAGGTCTTAGTACTTATCCGGACGGAACTGCCCATTCGTTCAACAAACTGAGGAGAAAGAGAGAGCCGATTGATTAGATCTTCAACAGATCCGATATAAAAAAAATAGCAAAAGATCCGATATAAAAAAAAGTTTGTGTGTATGGATGGATGTTTGTTACTCTTTCACGCAAATACTAATGAATGTATTTTAATGAAACTTTACTATAATATAGCTTATACATCACAATAAGACATTGGCTATAATTTATATACATATTTTTATGTATACATGTCTTTCTGTCTGAATGTTACGCCTTAAGCCTGTTCTACGCAGACGTATGGCGGGCAGCAGCTATTCTATGATGAAATTAATACAGGTACATACTTCCAGAACTTTATTGTATTCCTTTTTTGAAGGTAATTTAATGACTCAAATTTATAAATTATTCCCGCTACTATTGTGCCACAGAATTGATATTTGTCACGTTTTTTCGTAATAGTTTTAAGCCGTTCGGAATTTTCCAAGAGATTGACAGATATCATAAGCTCTGAAAATAGACAAGTCAAATACAGAGCACAATTTATGTTTACAAAACACCAATTTCACTGTTAGTGACGGTTAGTTGACGAAGGTAGCGAATTGTGCAATAACAACAAAACGCGTAAACGATTTTTGCATATTAAAGAAGTTATTAGAAAAAAGAGGAAATTAGAAAAGAGTTTCTTCATTCAACCTAGGCTGTCACAAGCTCTTATGGATGTCGAACTTGCCACTGGCTTTCTAAATTATATTTCTGTCTCGGGGTCAGTCGTCAAAAACCTCTGCAATATTTTTATAAGATATTATATTTTTCTACAGTTCTTATTTGTTAAGGAATTATTTTAAAAAACATTATTAAGCCATAAAATAATACCATAAAATCCACAGTAGCCATGAGACGTGTAAGAATTAAGAATCTTATTCAGGTTAAAGACTTTTATTTATCACAAAAAGAACATTACATACTTCACTTAAAACGTGATAAACATATAGAAGAAGTCTTAAATATATGTATGACACAAACAACAGTCTCAGACGGGTACCAGAGTTTATAAATCCAAGCAGTTAGTAATTTGTTTCATAGGCGTTTTTTGTACAATGCAATGGTTTCACATCCTTTAATTTCCTCAGGCACTTTTTTGTATAGTTGTGTTCCTACTGGTATACGGTATTGGTAATTCAAGGTTATGTCTATTTCGGTATTATTCGCTAACAAAAACATCAAAACTTAGACAAAAAAATACTTTTTGAGCATCATAATGTATTTAAATGACCTCCTTGATCTTGCGATACATCTCCGTTCTTCATATAGATATATTTTTATAAATATAATATTATAATGGCAACAATTTCATTACGTTTATATATGTGACCATGTTATGCCCTTATCAAAGCATAGAATATTAAATAACTAATAATAATATCGTAATAATTTAAATATCTATTTAAGTGGCGGCTCTATCGCCACTTAAAATAAAATATAAAATCTTTATTTTATAGATACCATTGCTAAATGGGACTGCTTTGAACCCCGATGAAGATTAGCTGAATTTTATGTCAGTGAAATATTTTATCAACAAATGAGATCCATTCATTCGCTTTAGTATAATGGAAATTACTTCCTTTATATATGGGATACACGTTTACCATAGAGACTTTGAGGCTTATATGATATAATATTATGTAGGTATGGACTACAAGACGACAGAAACTAAAATCTCAAGCATTAGTTCTTTCTTTACCATTATGATCTTGTTGGATATAAGAAATATATGATACATACTGATATATACTGATCCCCTTTGTGATTGAAGAGTGGAATTATTGACAGCGCCATCTACATTGAACATGAAGAAACATTTAAGTTAGCAGAGTTACTCGCCTCTATGATTTCCTTAATAGTTCTAACAGATGTCAATGTTATAAAATATCTATTATACATTGTGTCGTTACTACCGCGACAATAAATGAACACACGTCTAACGCGACTTGACGTTAAAAAAATCCATAATTAAAAAAAAAATTTCAAACAAACTAATTAAGCAAAAAAGAAACAAAATTTGTAACATCCTATACAACTAAAACCGACTGATTCATACATTCAGAGACTTTTTCATTCGTTGCCACAGCGTCGCATTAAAAGCCTCTCCTTCTAACAGTATGTTTTGTCTCTTTTAAATTCATTCAACCCATTCGTGTGCTTTGTGACCTTTACAAATGAACTTTACGTTACAGTTTTATACGTAAGAGTGTTCTAAAATTGTTTGTTTTGGAAAATTTAATATCTCGGTAAATATTGTTGTTCAAAGAATGTAAATGCTTAATACAATTTTAAAAATTTATACTATATAAGTGTGTTAATTTATTGTCGCGAATGTAGACACGCTGTATATTTAAAAATAAGTTCCTAGTCTTCCATGTTTTTGCAAGGTTAGACGTCGGACACTAAAAATTTTGTAATTTTTGTTGATTTGTAACAGAGACAAGAAAATCGCAATTATAAAAAAAAATTGTAATTATTAACACGGAAATCCACAAAAAAATTACACATCCTTATCATTAGATATGTCACGCATCATGATGAGATTTTTATTTCAAAATTCGAAATAGATTCAATATAGGCTTGAAATAAGCCTATATTGAATCTTATTTCATTGAATCTATATTGAAGCTCTTATTAAACCTAAAAAAACTAGAACGGTTCACTAAACTAGACCCGTTCAGAGAAATACCCCGAAGAAACTCTGTTGTCTTATTATCCTTTTTTCTTAATAATTTCTTTTATGAAAAAAGGATAACTATTTATTTCAGCATTTAATGCGAAACAGACAGGGGAGTTGCAAGTATAAAACAAGAGCATTAAGAAGTACAACCATCGGCAATCAATATGGATTTGAGGTTTTAACTATTGCGTTAACAATAAATACAGTGCGAAATGTTAATTATAACTATCCTACGGAGGCTTAGCGAAATATCATTATTATTCACAATTCACGCTAGTTTCGTGTGAAGAATGTGCTCTTATAATGTAAACGGCCTACCCAACAGTGGAACATTATACGCTACCTTTGAACCTTATATATATAATACTTTTTAAATGGGTAACTAAAAACTTATTAGTACCTAGTAGTCTAGTAATTGGGAAAAGATGTTGACGAGGCTTGAATTTCAGTTGACTGAACTTAATTATTCCGAAAAGCTCTTTTACCATGTTAGGGATTTAGTAGATTCAATTTAGTCAATCATCATAGTACAATACAGCCATATAATACTAATACATTATTACAATAATTAATCCTAGTAATAATCCCTTCAAATCCAACTTATGTCATCGTTCACGCGGGAACAGTAATGTATCGTGATAAATCTAGTAGACATACCTAATTTAATTTCGATTTAAAATTTCCCGAAATCTCAAACAGTTTACAACATCTAGAGTTACCAGACAAACTGAGTTAATATTACTTGCTTCGAACAATTTGGATATTTATTTTAGTTTTTTCCAATTTAATCCGAATGATCTTAGTAGTAGTGTCGCGTGAATTTGCTATCGGTGCGCTTGAATTTATATCTATAAATTTTCGGTTCAATCCAGAAGTAATTATTTTGTACACTTTAAAT